ATTTTTAAGAAGATGAATTTCGAGATATGCTTCATGGCCGAAATACTGTAAAGAAAAAAAAACTTTTAGATTTAATCTTTTAATATTTGAAGGGAATATATAGTTTCTTTAAAAATATAATTATGGTTATTTTTAAAAAAAAATTACTCATAAATATATTAAAATTATATTTTTAAACTTTTTAAAAATTATTTTTAATATTGGTGCATCTAAATTTTCTAAAAATACTAAAAATATATTAATTTAAAATAAAAAAATTAATTTTTTAAAAATATTTTTGAAATATAAAAAAAACATAGCATATAATTACAAAGTAAAAGGTATGCATCATAAACTTGCTAACATGAAAGAATTTGGTATGTTATGCTGTGCAGGTTTTCTTAATGTAAAAAAAAAATCAGAACTTATTGACATGTTTTTTAATAAAAAAATTAATTATAAATTTAAAACATAACACATATTAAATGATATATTTTTTTAAATATTATCATAACAATATATTAGATAATTAACATTGCGATGTATTAGATCGATCTTGGTTAATTTGTTAAATTTACAATCTGAGTCATGAGATTATAATAAACCTATAAAAAATTTAAAAAATTTAAAAATCAATTCCTAGTTAATCAAATATTAAAAGAAGAATTGAAAAAAATATTAAATTAAATAAAGGACAAAAAAACTTATATAAATTGATCCAAGTTAACTCGTTAAACCTCTAATTTAGGTTATGAAATTAAAATAACTCTATAAAAAACAAAATTAAAATAATTATAAAGCTAAAAAAACAAAAAAAAAATAAAGTTTATCTGAACTAACTTGTTAAACTCATGAATTAAATCATGAGATTATAATAACTTTATATAAAAAAAAAAGATATGAGGCTTCTTTTTTAATAGATTTAAAATTGATGGTAGAAACCGAGAAAATAAAATATTTTATTGGACTAAGATATTTGAAAAAAAATATAAAATTTAATTTTTAAATAATTTAATATTGAAATATTAAATAAAAAATAAGAAAAGAAAATAAAGAAAGTTGAGTTGATGGACGATAAAATTAAATAAGATATATTTAATTAAAAAATATAAATAAAATAATAAAATCAACTTGTTTAAACTAATCAAATTTATTATTCAAAAATTAATTTAATTTAATTTATACTTGGTATGTTCGGTCATGCTATTTATTTAATGACGTGCAATAACAGGGAGGAGAGGGAAATGGTTATTTTAACCATGGATAAGAACGACTTGATTCTGTGGGGTAACCTCATCAGAGTATCTGTAACGAGAGAGCTGTGCGGACACCAACCAAAAAACAAACATTAACTGCCAATATGGATTTTTATCTATTGATTTTGGGTCTCCAGCGAGATCGCTATATGGGATGTACAAAAATTTTCTTTGTCAAAAGCAGAGTATTTCCTATCAATTTAATAAAGGAAGAAATTATTAAAAATAATAATTAAAAATAGATTAAGCTAAGCTTGCATGTTAAACCCTAAACTTCAATCATAAATTTGAGCTAATTTCATAAAAAACAAAAAAAAAAATTCTGACTCTTTATTTACAATATATCCAATATTTAAAATTGAAATTGAGAAAAAAAAAAGAATTTATGTGGCTATGATAAACTATATATAAAAAAATTAAAACAATTAAAAAATTTGATTCTTATAAATCTAATATTGAAAGTTGAAATTAAAAAAAAAAGTTGAATAAAAAAAAGAAGGTTGATAAAAAAATATTAAATTAAAAAATGATAAAAGGCCCAATTAAGAAAATAAAAAATTATTACAAGGCCCAATTAAAAAAATATTCAATTAAAAATAAATTCAGGAAAATAAATAAAGTCAACTTTGATTAACTTTTCAGCCTTGCAACCTAGTTATGAAATCCAAATAATCTTATAAAAAATAAATAAAAAATACAATCTAGTCATGAAATCAAAATAATCTTATAAAAAACAAATAAAAAAATTTCAATTTCCAATCCCAAAATCCCATGAAAAGAAAATAAATAAAATTTATAAGACCTAGTTTCCAACCAATTCAATGTTAAAAGATAAAATAAAAAAACTAGAAAAAACAACAAAAAAATATCTTGAGTTAACTTGGATTAATTTATTAAACTTGTGACCTGATTTATGATATTAAAATAAATTTACACAATGAAAATAAAAAAATTACAAAGCCCTATTCCCAACATATCTAATATTGAAAGTTGAAATCAAGATAAAAAACAAAATTCATATGACCAATATAAACCCAACAAAAAAAATACATAGTATAATTTATAAGATAATTTAATAATAAATGATCGAATTTAAAATAAAAAATAAAAAAAATAGGTTGTTGAAGATTTAATTAAAAAAATTATATAAAAAACATAAAATATTATTTCAATGGTGTTTTACAGGTATTGATATATGAAATAAATGTAGCTATATTGTCACAAGTTAGGTCATGTTATTTGTTTAATGATGTACAATATCGGGAGAAGAGGGAACACAAAGAAAACTAACTTATTAACCTTTGACAAAAAAAAAGCTTCAAAGGAGACGAAATCGGTTCTTTTAACAATAGATATAAAACCGATTTGATTTTGTGGGTCAACCTTATCAAAACACCGACAATAAAAGAGCTATATAAACAACAACAAAAAATTAACTACCAAAATAGATTTTTATTTGTTAATTTAGAGTCTCAAATTAGATACCTATATTATACAATAAAGATATTAATATTTCACGGCTTATCAATTTAACATTCACTAAAACACAAACTATTATGAATGTAATTATATAATTATTTTTATTCAGAAAACTTGTTGATTATGTAGTTCAATGTGAGATTATCCCTTTCATGAGATGTATTTAATATTGAAAAAATAATTATGAACAGAATAATTAATTTAGATTTTTTGAGTTGCAATATAGATTTTGATTAACCCTTTAGAATAAAAAAATTTAACCTTTGAGTTGGGTACTTCTTTTGTTTTTTCAAGAAAAAAAAATAATATAGATACATCCATATTAGAACAGGAGGGAAAATATATAATTGTGTTAGAGTATTTTTTTTGTTTTTTCAAGAAAAAAAAATATAGATACATCCATATTACAACAGGAGGGAAAATATATAATTGTGTTAAGGGGCTTCACCATCCTTTTATTTTATTGAAACAATTCAAATACAAAATTATCTTTGAATTTTAACAAAAATAAAGTTCTATATAAAAATGTTTTTGTTCTTTTTGTATAGTTATCACACTAAAGCACTTTATGTAAGCAGTAGGCGCCGGGGCATGATAAGAATACCAAACCCGAGTGCTAAGGCATGACAAGACTACTAGATACTTGACACTAATATCAGGTATATCTGTTATACCCAAAATGTTTAAATTTGGCAAAACAGCTAGACCCAAGGCGCCATGGGCTTTGTAAGGACACCAAATCCAATATTAACTAGGTTTAGTAAGGGATTTCATATCCAAAAACTCTAGTATGACACCAACATATCCAAGTAATTTGGGTTTAGAAGGTATCGTAAAACCTTTATTTTTTTAGTTTAATATTTTGACTATACTCAAAATTTTTAAGTTTGATATAATTATCATATTAAAAGAACTTAAAATATTTTTTTAAAAATATTATATTAATCTACTATAAAACACGGGAAAATATCCTAGTTGATTGCTAAAATATTTTTTATCAAAATAAAAGGTGATCACCTATACAGGATGCTAAAATCTCTCTTGTCAATATGAAGAGCCATTGCCATATGTTTTTTCCGATGAAAACCATAAAACAGGGGTAAAATTTGAACTTCGTTTTCTATTGAAACTTCCCCTCTCTCTTTTAAAATAATTTGTTAAAATGTATTTCTCCAGCTGGGTACCACGTGAGAAGAAAAGGGGCTAAATTACACTATTCAAAATGCTATATTGATAATTTGTCCATTTCGAATGGCCTTCGCTGTTGAATTTGACTTAAAAAGCCGTTCTTGGAGGAATGCAAAAGATGGAGGAAATTTATGAACCCTTTTCATACTCCTCCCCTTCTCTCATGTTCTATGTCAAATATAAAATTACTTGTTAACATGTCATTTTCTACTGGAGTACCACACGACGAAAAAAGCTAAATTACACTATTTGATAATGCTTTATTGATAATCTGTCTCTTTCAAGTGGTTTTTGCCGTTAATTTAAGATGCCCTAGCATGTTTACATGTGGATGAGTGAAAAAACCAAATTTATTTTTTACTTTTTAAAATATTTAAATCAAACCCGAATCGATATCTTAATCCACAATTTAAATCCTCAACCTCATTTAAGGTTTCATGGTTATGCTTTTAAACCGTGAAACCTTAAATGAATTTAAGGCAGTATATATGTAATTACATGTTTTCTTTTCCTTCTCATTTTTATTTTTATTTTCTAAAGATTGGCTATCATGAAGACAATAAATTCCCTTCATTAAAGATTAGCTATCATGAAGACAATAAATTCCCTTCACAAATTTTGGATTACTCTACCCATTATACTTACATGTTTTTTTTTTGTTTTTTTTCAATAATAAATGTGTAATCTTAGTGCTTTTTGATCTTGAAATTATACATGCATATAAGCTTAGTTTTTTTTTTTTAATAAAAAAACATTAAAATGATGTCTTAAAACACAGGTTGAAACGTATCATAGGTGCAATATTTATTATTAATCCAAACAAATAAAGGGTTTCCTGCCTTCCCTTTTCCTTTCCCTCTCCGTTGAATCGAACCAGGTATCCTCCGCTTGGAATTTTCCAAACCCACTGTAAAGAAGAGAGAAAATTAATTATCAATTACCATAATAAATACACATTAATTATTGATCCAACGGTCACAAACTCACCACCCCAAAAATCCCCAACCATTAGATCTCCTCCAATAGCCGTCTCTTTGTTATTCTCAAAACAAGAATCGGACGTGTCACTCACACCCTCCCCAGCCTATATAAATACGCCTTCACCCACATCCCAAAGGCCACGCAACCCTTTCTTGTATCACTTCTTTTCAAGATTAGGGTTTTTGTTTTCAAGAAAACGGCATGGGTGAGAGGCAAACTGGGAAGGTCAAGTGGTTTAGTGACCAAAAGGGGTTTGGTTTCATAAGCCCTGATGACGGCAGCGACGATCTTTTTGTCCACCAATCTTCCATCAAATCCGAAGGGTATCGCAGTCTCGGAGATGGTGAAGAGGTTGAGTTTGTGGTTGAAAACTCTGATGATGGCCGTACCAAAGCTGTTGATGTCACTGCCCCTGGTGGAAACCCAGTTCAGGGTATCCGATCCGGAGGCGGATATGGCGGGGGCTCCGGGGGCCGCGGAGGGGGCCGCGGTGGCGGCGGATATGGAGGTGGGGGAGGATATGGAGGAGGAGGTGGTGGATATGGAGGTGGAGGTTATGGTGGAGGTAGGAGGGGTGGTGGTGGTGGCGGGTACGGAGGAGGTGGCGGGTATGGCGGCGGCGGCGGCGGAGGGTGTTATAGTTGTGGGGAGTCGGGGCATTTGGCTAGAGATTGTCCCCAAGG